GCCGTATGGCCGCGGTCATGACAACTTTAGACTGCTGCTGCGTGGTATGTTCGTTGCAACCGGTATATGTCATAGATCCTATGCAGATGCTCGCAAGGCCTGGTCTGTGCTGTGCAATAGTTCAGCAGCGAGATCAACCCGAGCATGGCTTTAAGCCACCAAAAGCAATGGGTTCCTCCTGACATGCACCATGCTGGACGTCAGGGCAGCGATAAACAGTAGTTCTGTGTACTAACTGACAGCTCCAACAACTTAATAAGAGTCGTGCTAGATACTTGTACTGACGAATGGAAGCGATGCAGCATGGGCCAAGGCCTTAGCATGTTACCTCCTTCATAAACGATTTAGACGAGTACCTTTGCAAACAACACAGTCATCGTCTAAAGCCTGATGTCACAAAGGTTTAATATAGGGGCCTTAATATGCTTTCATAGTTGGAATAAGGTTTGGGGGTATACTATTCTATAGTCTATAGTCATAATAAGGAACCACCAAAATAGTATTGGTAATTATTAGGGCTATGAAGGCCGCTTGTTTACGTTAATTTGAAGGTCCCAGGGCCAGGGTCGCCGGAGTGAAGCTGAAGTCTAAGATTCTAAGGTTAGAGGTATGAGCCCCTAACATGGACCTTTAGGCCTTTCTAGGGGCACATATAGGGTATATAGTAGGTATATAAGGATCCCAACCTTAAGGGCCCATACTAGGGGCCCATGGTTTCAAATCTAGAAATATAGGGGCCCAAATAATTACAGTACTTGCTGGCTCCATGTAAAAAACTTATGGCAAACCCTTATTCTAAGTGTCAAGGCCCCTACATTAACCCCCAAACTCTTGGGAAAATCCTTACTGTAGAGCCCTTTCAGAAAAGCGCTCCAGCCACCGCCTGTTGGGCCCAGGGGGTCAAAGACTTCCCCCGGGTCGAAAGGCACCGCATAAATGGGAGGCCTCAAACTGGACATTCTGGGAGGTTTAGGGCTTGGACCCTCGCAACTCCAACAATGCTTAGGGTTTAGGGTTTAGGCTGAAGCGTGCTGCTTTGAGGTAATTATTTCGGGTTCTTCTTCCTGGTGTAAGTAGGGCTGTTGTCTTCTGGCTATGGGGGGGTCCACAAGTATCCGAAACTCCCTGCGACAAAAGCGAGCCATGCATTGTCGCGGTTTGGGGTTTGGGGTTCCAGGGATTTCGGGCTCTGGGCTCTGGGAGTCCGAGCCTAGGGCCTAGGGCTACAGGATCAAGGCAAGTCTCGATCTCGATTTATACGGGTTTGGGAGAACGCGGGAGAACTCTGACTTTGAATTTGGTTGTTCGGGTGTAGGGGCTCGGTCTACCGAGTCTACTGAGCTTGCCTGTTGCAGTCACCGTTGTTGCGAAGGGTGAAAAGTTGAGACTTTGAGGGAGTCGGACTTCGCGTATTCCAGTGTATAGGAACCTGCATACGTCGGCTAAGGTGCTGAAGTTCTGCATCCGCTACATCAGAGTCCGGCATCTGTTCTTGCCAAGCTCTGGCGAGAGCAAGCCTTTGAACAACCCTCGAATCTACACCTACTCCATCCGGGGCCGAGACCAAAACTGCATAATAGACCCTGCATGCGATTGTAGTATGGAGACCCGTCCTCCGACTTGAACCCCAGCAACGCAACGCTAAGGGCAGAGATTGAGAGCTCGGTGTTTCCTCCTCGGAAGTGAATAGACTTGAGAGTGTAGCTGCTGTGAAGCTGTGCCTGAAGGACGACGACGACATTGGATGAAAAACTCTGCGCGTACATTGACGAGCTAACAACCAAAACCTAAGAACTGCTAGCAGGAGGCAAGAAAGGAAGATACCTGAAAAGATGCGATCTCTTGCCTGCCGCAAGGGTCGCTGTCGGAGGGGCGTGACGCGACTTCTGTCGGCACCTCGCAGACCACAAAGTCACAGAGCGTCAGGCTTTCGCTACGCACATTTTTAGCCAGGAAAGGAATAGGAGCTTTAGGCTCTCGCAACTCGGACTCAGCCAGACGAGGTCTCTCAGTTTGCGTTCGCACTGCAGTTTGGGTTTAGGTCGACACCACGAGGTGGTATCCAGAAGCCAAAGCCTCGATACTTTGATCCGGGTATGTCTACGGTTGTCATCATGCAAAATCTGCCTGTGGACACGAGTATTAGAAAAAAGATGACAAAGGACCCGGGGTGCCACCGGAGGACCAAAGCGATCGGAGCGACTAAACTCAGGTACTGAGACGGTTGAAACACTTTAAGCTCAGTCGTGGCATCCGTTCGACCTATGTGCTAACAGAAGTATCGGTTCCCAGTGCGTTGTTGTGCCATGCGACGGAGACTTGGCTTAGGGTTTCCGGGCAGAAAAATCGAGGCCAAGGTCATACTTTGCAGGTCACAAATTCCGTGTTGATCGTTTCATCGTAAGTCGTCTTGAGACCTGCGAGAAGACTAGCCTAGCAGGTGCTCCTCACCACACTGGACCCAAAACTAAACTACCCTAAGCCCCTTTGTTTGAACCCCAAACCCTAAACCCATACACCCCAAACCCGTTTTCACACAGGCTTGAAACCCTAAACCCCAGCTCTACAGCTGCAAGAAAGCCTGGACCCTGCAGCCCAAGCTGAGCACCTCAGGCAGCTCCTCCGCATCAGCAGGCATGCCATGGCCCGGACTGCTGGACCTGGGTTTAGGGTTTACACTCAAAGCTCGGACAAGCCAGGGCGAGGATCCATGTGCGACAGTCGGCGTGAAAACATTGAGGGCGAGTATGCCTGCAACTACTCGGTTTAGGGTTTAGGGCTTTACAGTCTCACAACTCGGACAAGCCAGGGCGAGGATCCATAGGTGCAATGGTCGGTGTGACACAAAGCTGACGGGATGCCGAGGGTTTAGGGTTTAAGCTTTGGGGCCACCATAAAGTACCCTGTACATGGGCATAAGCCTCTGCGAATGTCGTTTTTTGTATTTATTTTTACATACATTTTATATGTATTTATGTTTATACACACACATACACACATACACATGTGGGCTCACATGTGCAAGTACTCGTACATACATATGTACTTGCAGATGTAAGTACAGATATGCGTAGATCTGTAGGTAGCAGGTAGGTATGTAAGCAACAAGGTATGGGTGGATGCAAGTAGGTACTTCTGTATGAATGTATGTGCACAGGAATGTCATTTTATACAATAATGCTGTGTTTCGTGCAAGGGACATCGAAACAAGAAATGGACGGTGAATCGGAAAGGAGAGGCACCTGTCGACGAGACCAACATACCGAGACCTGCTGCATTTGCACACTCCGTACCTGCAGCAAGACAGCAAGCATGGCAGGCAGCAATGCCGACAGTAAGGACTACTACTACTACTGCTACTACTACTACTACTACTACTACTACTGCTGCTGCTGCTGCTGCTGCTGCTGCTGCTGCTAACTACTACTACGACGACGACGACGACGACTACTACGACGACGACTACTACGACAAGAGTACTGGCAACGCAAACAAACAATGGCCCGACTACTAGTTACTAGCGCAAATCAGCATGACATCAGAATGAAGAGAACTAGGACGAACAACCATGAGCATCCAGGTCGTGTGATGCTTCAACAGTGCGTCGACACGTCTTTGCTTCGAAGAGCGATGTGAATGAACGACTCCTCTACTGAACGGAGTTGTGAAGATCGGTCCTAAGACGATGGTCCTCAAAGTAGGTGGGGTCATTGAGCAGTCTTCCCGAATCAAGTTGAGTGACCCTGAAGGCCAGGACCCTAAATCGGAATTGTCTTTTTCCCTGAACCCTAAGCCCCAAAATCCTAAACCTAAACCCTATAGTGCCCTAGGGCAGCAGAAGACCCTGCCTAGAAGAAGACTCGGCAGCATGCCTCGCCTGCGGGAGACTATGTGCTTCCTGGCTTTTTAGCATATTGTTATATATTTCAATCTTGGTAAATCGCTCTGCCACTTCATCCGGATGGACACAATCTGGAGAAAACTATAGGTATTGTATATTATAGCTTGTTTGACGACTGAGTTTGGGCTACCTCTCGGCAAGTGACCGCTTGGCTCGCGCTGGAGAGACTGCTTCGGTGTATTCAACGCTTCTTGGCTTTGTTTTGCATCTTGCATCCGCGAGGCAAAATGATGGCTTGCGACTCGCACGTTCTAGGCTTTGTGCTCCAGGGTGCGGGGCAGCGGGCAGCTGTTTCTGCACATTGTAGCGATCATGGATTCCTTGTCGCTTCAACTCTGCTTTCTTGAGTTCACTACCGAACACGACTGCAGCGTGAGCAGCTGGAACTACAGTGGATTACTGCGGCGAACCTAAGATTTCGACTCCAAGGTTTCGTAATCAAGAGCCAGTAAGTATGGGCCAAGGGTCACTCGGGGTGCTTGGAACACTGTTCCAGCTCACGCAGCCGAAGACGCCTGGCTCAAAAAATAAGAGACCATGATATACAGAACCCTAAGTAGCAACATCAGTATTTTAAAAACCCCTAAGGAGGAACAGCCGGCCATCTAGACTTCCGAAGTCTTGGCCAGGGGGCTGTGTTCTGCAGCGCCAGGACCAAGGAGCGCGGTACGCCCAATGGCGATGCCTTGCAGTGAAAAGCGAGGTCACTCAGCATTTGGGTTTGGTAGACTTCACAGTCGAAGCTCACTCTAGAGTCTAGAGCGCCACTTCAGGCTGAGATGACAAGATCTTCACCTCTGAAAGCGCTGCGGAGTACGGTATTTATTCTCCCCACTGTGCTGGCAAGTCGTGGTCGAGCACCTCAAGTGGCCAGGGGAAAGGGCCTATGTTGCCTGAGGCCTATGCAACCACAGTGTGCCGCCTTGGTTGCAGACAATTCAAACAGAAAGGAACGAGGCTCGAGCCAAAAGCCAAGGGACCTGCCTGCGGAGCATGGGGAAGATCAGGCGGAGACACTACATTACGTAATTGAGTTGAAGCCATATTCCCATCCCCATGCTCCTGTCAGAATCCTTTGCCCCGCACAGAATAGAGACTCACATCAGCACTTAGTGCATGAGGCAGGCCTCGCGATATGACACAGACTCGGATCCGCACTTAGTGCGTCAGTCAGGCCACACAATATGACAGAGACTCGGATCAGCACTTAGTGCGTCAGGCAGCTCAGAGCGGTCGTTGTTGTTGCTAGGCTCAGCCATGGCATGCGGGCGTCTGATGTTGTCACCTGCTCCATAGTCGTGGTCGTTGTGCCGCATGGGTGCCGGGCCTCCATGAGCCAGTCGAAGACCTTCTCCGCCCCTTCGCTACCTTTCTCCGTGCGTGCCAGATTGCTGTATGTAAGCGCACCAGGACTGCCTGAGTGTTGCAGGAGGTAGAAGCCCGTCGTGGCACAGTAGTCAACCACAAGGCAGGCCCTCGTGTGCAAGTGGGCCTCACTGCGCACATGCACCTTATCCGGGGCCAAGCCAGGATCACCATTGAAGGCTTTCTGCTCGACTACGAAGTTGTCGTAGCACAAGCCATCCATGAGAACCCCGACCATTGTGACTGCTGATGCGCTGCTACTGTCAAACGTGCAGCCTGCGAAGCTGGACGGCTTCTTGGCCCTTGCTGCATCACAGTCGTAATTGTCTGTGCAAGTGCTTGATGAACTAACGCAATTAACGCCAGTTGCACCTGGGAGGTTCGCGCCCAGGTCCTCTATAGAGGAGACCCTGAGGCAATCGTTGCCATCTTTCATGCC